TTCTCTCCCTGCAAAATTGTTATTTCCAATTTATCAAATAGTTTATATCTTTGGAACCACCTTTCAACCTATCCAATTTACCTGTGCATCTGCAGCTTGGAGCTGTACACCAGTCTTCATAATGAGCTTTTCAGCGTCTTCCCCGTAAGCTACTGCTGCAATGGAACCTGTCTTGTCCTCAATGGTTATCGGAATCCTGGCCCTGAATAATGGCATGTGCCATATTTGAGTTATACATTCCACATAATATTGACTAATATTTTGGAAAAGTGCATAGAGAATAAAATGTCAATACCTTGCTAATATTTGGCTATCTCTGTTGCAAGAGCTGCAACGAATTTCAGAGTGGACTGGGAGCTCAAATTTTTTCAGGCAATGCATGCATGCTCCAAACCATAATGGTTGTTGCACAAATCCAAGTGCCACTGAACCTTCTATCCATGCTGTTTGAATCTAGTAGCCATATGAAGTTTGTAGTGATGCATAAACAATTCATCAAACTTGTGCATGCTGTAATATGCTTTTCCTTATGTATTTTTATAGTTTTAATTGAACTTCTGTACCTTATTGTTAGTACTAATGAGAGTTTGCACAGTCTTAATGTCATCAGGATGTGGGGGTGGCAGTAAGAGCGAAGTGTTTTTGTAAGCTTTAGTCGCAATGAGGTCGGCAACAACCGGCTTGTTCTGCAAGTACCTGCAGTTATTACTCAATTCGATTAATATGCTTTTTGTGAACAAGTAATTCTTAACCAAACGAATGCCTAAACTACTTACCATTGCTTGAGGCTAATAGCCTCGGGTATTGGTGGATTGATAAGAATTGAACTTGCTGCTCTTGTAGACAATGAAAGCCCTATTTATGATCAACAACAAAGGGTTTAGTAGTGTTTCAACCATAAGTGCTGAAATACGTGTGTTTAAATTTACCATGAAATGTTGTAACTTTAACCCGCATAGCAAGAACAATATTGCCTGCATTAATTGTGTTAGCTAGCTTTGAGCCTTCATCCTCAGCATAATCATTCCATAGAGTAAGTATCATTGGAACCCTCCTATATAACACACACTTCTGTTAAGGCATGACTACACTTTTGATCAAATAACAAAGGCAGGAAAATTTAAGCTTACTCATTATTGACCAACACAATGTCCCTATTCACGGAGTCTAAGCCAATTTGCTTCACCTCAAATGCGTGTACCACCACACCTTGAATGTCTGTATAGCAAAATATTTAGAAAATACATGCAGCACAAATATGCAAAACAATGGTAAGTCTGAGAGCAATATGTAATACTAAAGTTCATTTCCTAACTTTATTTATTTCAGTTAACCAAGATGACATACTCTGCAAGTCTTCCGTGTCGACAAACCGGTGTAGATCAGCAAACCTTTGGCACTCTATGTGGCAAAAGAGTTGGTCAGCAGCTTCATCCTCACAGGGCTGAATCAATGTGTTATTATTGATCGTCCATGTGAACGGATAAGGGCCCTTTTTGTACCTATCATCTTCCTTCTTCAGTGTAGCCCCAGATACATAGTACTTCTTGAATGGCAGCAAAAGTGTTGAAGATGCCCTGATATTATTGTTATATGCAACTGCGGATACTTTTGTCCCCTACAAAAGTAACATATTTTGGTGGCAATTAATTACAAAGAATGTACAACATTGAATGCCCACAAAAAGAAGTCTAAAATAACATGTTGGACAATTTGGCTTACATCAGAGTCTGCAAATACAAAACGACGATATGAGATGGCGGTGTCTCTCTGACTGACCAATATCTTGCCCCTCTCGACAACTTGAATCAACGCTGTCCACCCACGAGCATTTTCTTTAATCTGGGCAACTGGAATTGTGTTCTTCATTGTCACCTAACAATAGGAAATGTGAAGTGATCAATATATATTTGCATAAACAGTTAATATTCAATAGAAATAAGTAGCATCTTTAGTTTACTCCAAAGCAACATCCAAACTATCGCCCTTTTTTTTTAAAGAAGATGGGTTAGTTTTTATGTTTCTTACTCTACAGGCTTACAAACGATGATTCTACAAATAACATACCTTTGTTTGTATTTGTTTGGAAGTGGGTTTGTGTAAGTGGATGAGTATGACCGATGAGTATATATATTGAGAAAAATGAAAAGCAAGTATGTTTATAATTATTTAAAAAATTGCAAAAGTAATTGAAGTACACTACAACCATACCTTGAAAGATTCAACTTTCTGCACCAACCATACCTAGATCTAAATCAATTTTGGAAAAAGGAAAAAAGAATTGTACTAAGGTTGTAGTCAGTGAGGCCCATTGCTTGAGTGCATCCTGAAAAGCTTTGAAATGATTACAAAGTGTCTCAGTAAAGTGGGTCTGCGTGCAGACCTCAAAATTAGGGTGCAAGAAATCGCCAACTCCACGTACATCTTCTGAAATAATGAAAAGATATGTTAACATGAAATTTAGGGTGCAAGAAATCGTTCTTTGTGGAGAATTTAAACTATTAGGTAGATCTGTTCTACTGTGTAAGAATCAAAAACATGAAATTTAAATCCCTAAATGATGGGAATATCTTACCAAACATAAAAATAAAATATAACATTCAAAGATATGTTAACAGACCCGGAAATCGCGGTCGAGTCGTGGGCGCTGCAGGGAGAGAACTATGCTTACCATTGAATCACTCCTCATCAAAATCATTTCCGCAGTTGTAAAATAAGTAAACATAAAGAAAAGATATGTTTTCACTAAATTCATCAAAATTCACAATTCAACTCCTCATTTAAACAATTTTTAATGACTACTTAGTCACATTGTAATATCGATATGTTTTAAACAAAAAAATCATCAATATTTTATCATATAAATTATTAATCAACTCTCAGTCTTCCTGTTTGTTTTTAGGAGTGTTTTTGGTTTGGGTCGTTGGCCCCTGTCTCATTACCCTGTTGGGGCCTTGTAATTTGTTCCTTTGCACTTTTGTGCTTTTCTATATTATCTCTATCGTTTCGAAAAAAAAAAATAAAAACACACATAATCATACAATTTAGTTATTAGTTTCTTGTTTTCGTTTTGATATATTATGAGATGTTTTTTATGTTTACACTCGGTACGAATATTTGTGAACTCTAAAGCACCATTCAAATTATTTATTCTCCTTGACTCCTTGCTAAGAAAGTGATAGTAAATTGTTATTTTTCAGCTTGAGTGATTTCGGCTTGTTTTGGAACGACACCAAAATTTCCAAGTACATGGGCACCCCCATTGTGGGTAGTTTGAAAACTGAAAAAATTATCATTGATTGTTTAGGACACGATTGAATATGAACTCTAATATTATTCGATTGTTTTTTTGTTTATTAACGGTAAATTTTAAAAAGGTAGTATGGTTAATTGTCAAGGAAAACTTTAAATTAAAATATAAAAAAAAATCCCGTATTTCAAATACTTCGTACACTGGCTAATAAATTATTGGGTGATCTTTTAATGATTTTAAAATAAAATAATTAAAATTTGATTTAATGTAAAAATTAGTAGAAAATTTATTGAAAGTTATGTTTAAGCTTCAGATTTGTTTGCACCCATATTGCTGAACTGACAAGAAAGGAAAGAGAGCTCTCATCAAAGTGGCGCTAGGAAAAAACATTCATGAAAGAAGTCACGCATGTCAATATATACATAAACTGCATCTTATAGAATATATAGGTTAAATGAACAACTAAATTATAATATTATCCTTTTTTTCAAAAGATAGTTTATGTTTCTAGATATATCTGTGAAGGACTTAAAATTTGGGCACACGTACTCAAATATACTTTTTTCTTCTAAGTGAAATTTATGCTTCTAAGTATATTGGGTAGGTTAATTGTAACAAGACACTGGACTCAATTTACAAAATTGTTCAACGCTCTTTAGAAGCCAAAAACGAAAACAAACTTGCATTTTATACAACTGGCCATTTAGTTAAAAAGCAACTATAACAGATTTCTAATGTAATTTATATTGTAATATTTTCAGCTTCTTGTGTTGTTAAGTTATATGTTTAATATTTCTTTGTGCGAGCTAATAATCAAATGGTGCGTTTAAAAATACGCACCTACATTTTAAACCCCAAGAATAATAATACTGAAGATTATAAATGTTATTCTGAATGCTATTCTGAATGCACTTCCCATCTTTACTATGTCCTGCTTTTCATTACCTGTGGGGATATGCAATGAGTTGAGCAGAATATGTGCTAGATACTGGTGGAGCAAGGGAGAGGATCAACAACAGAGTATACACTGGAAGCAATGGCAACTGATCACTTTACCAAAACAGCTGGGAGGGCTGGGGTTTCATGATTTCAGACTTTTTAATGATGTGTTAATATTGAAACAAATCTGGAGAATTGCTACATCTCCAAACCTCTTGGTAAGCAAAATTCTGAAGAAGAGATACTTTCCTTCCTGTTCTATTTTTGAGGCTCAGAAATCCAGCAGCTCTTCTTGGCTTTGGAGCACTTGGATGAGGATAAAGGATATTTATAAAAATTGTTTCAGAATTGAAGTGAAAGATGGGTTGTATACTAAAATCTGGCAGGACCCATGGCTGTTATCAACTGAGACAGGGGTTCCATCATCAAGGCACTCTTCAGAAATCTTGGTGAATGAGGTATGGGAATTGATGGAAGCTGGGGGTAGAAGGTGGAATCTTAATTTGCTGCAGGAGTTGTTTAATGAGGAGGACAGGGCTGCTATCTTGAGTATTAAAACTCTTGATCCTCAGCAGAGGGACAGATGGATATGGAAATGGGATGCTAAGGGAGTTTTTTCTGTGGCTAAAGCATATTCTCACCTTATTAAAGAGAAGTTCAGGAAACTAGATGTGGCAGAAGGAAGTGAATCAACTGCGAGGCTTGCTAAGATCAGGAAAAGAAGCTGGCAATTAAAGGTAAGAGGGAAAATCAAACATTTTGTGTGGAAGTGTTTTAACAATATCTTACCTGTTTGTTCCAATCTAAGGAGGAGAGGGATGGACTTAGATGGTATTTGCAGTTGCTGTGGCTTGGAGTTAGAGACAGCTGAACACATTTTTTTCAGTTGCTCTCGTGCAAAACTGGTTTGGAAGTTGGCACCGGTTTCTTGGGAGGGAATTGTGGATTCTAATAACAATTTTGCTGATTGGTGGGGGAGAGTTTGCTCTTTAGATCATCGTGATATTTCAGAAGCTCGTATCCAACTCACGACGTACATTTTGTGGTGGCTCTGGAAATCACGGAACCTCTGGAAGTTTAAACAATCGTGGATGCCGGAGAAGGTGGTAGTGCAGCTAGCTTTACGGGACTGGCAAGAATTTGGGAATTGTGGTGGCAAGCTGTGAGTAAAGGTGGAAGACATGGTCTAGGTCCGGTGGTTCAGTGGGCTTTGTCTTTCTCTTTTGCTTGTTTTTGCAGGCTTTGGCTTCTTTTGGTGTTTTGTTTTTGCTTGTGCTTTATTTGACCTAAGGGCTCCGGCTTTGTTCTGGCCTTAGTGTGCATTCTTTTGGTTGTAATTTAGGCCGCATAGGGATGCGGTTCTCATTGGGGTTGCCTGTATTAGCCAGTTGGCTTGTCGATATGTACATTTGTATATTTTGTGCAATATAATTCTGTCGTTGCGAAAAAAAAAAAAAAAAAGAAGATTATAAATGTTAATATAGTAGAACTCAAAGAACAATATGTATGGGTTTAAATATCATCCAATTGCACTCAAAAGAACCACAACCCAACAACACTCAAAAGAACCACAACCTAAATCACTGCCCAAACCACACTCACAAAAGATGAACTGGCAAAGTTCACTATAAGATAAAAGGACTGAAGTTCTAATAATTCACCCCACTATGCAAAACAACACGTCAACAGTTAATATACTCTAAAATACACAATATTTACATCCAACACAACACCAAAGTTTATGTTATGTCCCAGTTTAGCTATAGTATCACCATCATGACTGGGAGGAAGAATTTTCACTGGGTTGGTGTCCACACTGAGCGAACAAATCACAAGACCAATCATGGTTTCCATGTATAATCTGCAAAACAAAGATGCAATTGTCATGAATGAACCGAACTTATTAATGCAGTGCATAACAGAACTCCCTGAAAAGATCATCAGAACAGCAACCTAAGTTTGTACAAAATACTAATAAGTTAGTTTCCAAATCAGCACTTCAGTGAAATACACATGTTCCAGCAGGAGAACAACTTTAAAGAATGAGACATTTCACAATAATAATTGTATTTCAATCCGCGCATAAACAATTAACACTAACATTGTGCACAACTAACCTGAACTTCTATGCCTTAAACAATTTCAGCTGCCTGCAAAACTT